GGGCCCCCCCCCCCCCCCCCCCACACACACACCTGCACGTTGACCTGCCCGTTGTCGTCCTCATCCAGCATGTCCATGCCCGCCTTGGCATCCTTCTCGCTCAGAAACTGCTCCAGGTCATCCAGCACGATGTAGTCCCTGCGGCGACAGCGGGCGGGCGGCCAGCAGGGCGTGTGCCTCCCCAGCAGGGCCAGCAGGGCACCGCTGGCGGCCAGGCGCGTGCCAGGGGCTAAGCTCCCAGCCCTCCCACGCCTGCCCAGCGTTGCCTGGGCCCCGATGCCGCCCCCCACCCACCCCACCCCCACCCCACCCAACCCCGTGCCTGTCGTAGTCTGCCTTGAGGTTGTGGAAGAGGTAGAAGCCCAGCTTCTTGGCCTCCAGCTCAGTGGTCACCTGCTCGCTGCGCTCGGTGCGGCTCAGGGTGTCCTTGAACGTCACCTGCAGGGGGTGCGGCTGCCAGCCGGTCAGCCATGCGGCAAGCAGAGAGGGCGCCGCGCCGCCCCGAGCCGCCACACCGCGCACCTCCAGCGCGTGCTTCCGAATGTACTTCTCCTGCAGGCAAGCATGGCACTGCTTGTGAGTGAGGCGGTACAGGGGGGCCGCCCGCAGGCGAGCGGGACAGGCGCCAGCAGCTGGCGCTGCACGTGCGCGGGGCAGGCAGGCGAGGCGCGGGCCCGCGGCCCTGCCGCCGCCGCCGCCGCCGCCCACCATCTTGCTCATCCTCAGCGCCATCATCGCCTTGGCGCTGCTGCTGCTGCTCATGCTGCTGGCGTGTGCCAGCAGCGCCTGCACAGCGCAGTGCACGGCAGCGCGTGGCCGGGTGAGGCAGGGCTAGGCACCACACGCACGCAGCGCCGCGGCCCGTCGAACCTTCCCACCCCCCGGCCCCAGCCGCACCTTTTTGGGCGGCGGCACGGCATCCGCCGCCGCGCGCGACCTGGCCGATCGCATGGAGGTGATGGAGGCGGCGCGCTGCACCGAGAGCCGGGGCGCGCGCACAAACGCCCTGCCCCCCGCCACGCTGGGCTCCCGGCTGCCCGCCGCGCCTCCGCAGTCGGGCAGCGGCAGCGCGGTGGCGCGTGGCGTCAGCCCCCCGGCCTCCACCCCCGCCGCCTCCAGCGCGTCGCTGCGGTGCCGCACCAGCTTGGACAGCGGCGAGGGCGGCGGCTTGGCGGGGGAGCCGTGCTTGACGGGGGACGGCGGCACCGAGCCCGCGGGCGTGCCGCCGCCTGCCGACGCCGCCCTGGCCGGGAGCGGGTGCGGGAGCGGGTGCTCTGGGTGGTCCAGCAGCGGCTCCTCCTGCCCCACCGACCGACCGCCGTTGGTCATGTCCACAGCCACCGCGCCGGGAGGCAGGCTGCCCTGGCTGCCGCCGCCGCCCTGCTGCTCCTCCTCTTCCTCCCCCTCGTCGATCGCGTGCAGGTCGGCCTGGCTGGCGCGCCAAAACATGACCTGGGGAAGCAGAGGGAGAGGGGTGCAGGTGGTGGTGGTGGTGGTGGTGGTGGGGTGGTGGGGTGGTGGGATGGCACGCTGTCTGCCCGGATGCGCTGCATGGTTTGCCCGGCCGATTGCAAGGCTGAGAGCATTTTGGCAGCGCATCGGGGCAGCAACGGTGAGCAGGTGCCCTGGCCCGCTGCCGCCACGGCCCGGTGCCCGCCCTGCCGGCGCCTCACCCTGTCTTTCAGCGTGCGGCTGCTGGTCCTGTCCACCTCCGCGCTGTGCTGGTGGCGCTCCGACGGCTTGCTGCTGCGCCGGAACAGCCGCACCAGCGTGTTTTGCTTCATGGGCGAGTGGTGGTGGATGTTGGCCGGGGCTGGCAGGAGAGGAAGGGGGGGCGGGGGGCAGAGGAGACGGCGGCGGGATGAGCAACAGGAGAGCATTGCCCCGCCAGCGCCGACCGCCCGAGCCGCCAGGGCGTACGGGTGTGTGCGGCACACGGCGGGGGCCGGCCTCGCCTCACCCGACTCGGAGCGCCCCAGGTCGTCCTCGCCCTCGCACCCCGCCGCCTCCGCCTCCGCCAGCTCCTCAAACTCGGTGTACCGCTGGCGCGGCTGCAGCATGAGGTGCAGCAGGTACTCCTGCACACGGGGGTGGGGGGCGGCCGGCGTCGGCGGCGTGGGGCGCGGCGCTGCTGCCCGGCGAGCAGCCGCGCGGCCTCATAGCCAGGCAACGGACCCCGGCCGCAGGTGGCGCCAGGCGCCGCCGCCCGGGCCCACCCGCTTCAGAGCGTCGTGCATCTTCTGGTAGTGGGCCTGCTGGTTGAACTTGGAGGCCACCATCTTGGCGAAGCCCACTTTCAGGAGATTCGCTGTCATGAACAGCGTGAGGCAGCCCAGCACCTTGAGCACGTTGTTGTACCAGGTGACCAGCGTGTCGTTCATGTCGCCAGACAGGGCAGCTGCAGAGGACAGGCGCAGAGAGGGCAGACCGGTCAGCGGCCGCCGGGCGAGGCGCGGCTGCCGCCGGCTGGCGCGGCAAGGTCTGGATGGCGGCGCGCGCCGCCGCTCACTCATGATGAGCGCCCACCAGCCGGTGGTGAGGCCGGCACGGATCACGTTTGCCATGGGCTTCTGCAGCACAGCCCAGGCAGGGAAGGAGGGCCGCGCAACGCATCCACGCGGCCTGCTCAGCCGCGGCGCAGCTCCCGCCGGAGGGCGCCGCAGTCAGTCGGGGCAGCCTCAGTGCAGGGGGCATGCAGCTCTGTGCACGGCGTGGGGCGGCTGCCGCCCACTCACCCGCACAGCATAGGCATAGTACAGAGCGCTGCACGCCAAAAAGGACACACAGGGCGGCGTGTGGATCAGCTGGCCCGCCTCCGCCACGCCTGCTGCCCTCCCCTGGGCGTGCACGCGCCGCCGCCCGGCAGCGCAGCACGCAAAACGGGCCCCTCGCAGCGCTCACTTTTGCCAGGTGAACATGGTGCGCTCCACGCCCCAAACCGCCAGGTCCATAGAGCCGCGCCCGATCCACCAGATGATCGGCAGCCTGCGGCGGCACGAGCGGGGCGGGTCGGCCACGGCTGCTGACCGGTGGCGGCCAAAAAGTTGACGACAGCGCCTTGACGACGACCATGGCGGGGCGTGTGTGCCCCAGCAGCCCCCACCCACCCGGCAAAGAAGAAGCAGAGGCGCCACATCTGGAACTCGCCCACCCGCTGGTCCTCGTTGTACACGAGGTACAGCACGCCCTGCGCAGCGAGCGAAGAGGCGCGGCCTGCCGATCAGTGGGATGGACGGGCGCACGCCGGCGCCTGCGACGCGTGCTCAGGCCTGCGCATGCACACGGCGACAGCCGCATGCAGCGGGCACAGCGTGCCGCAGCTCCGCCTGCGCCGTACCGCCAGGATGAAGGCGAAGCTGACGAGCAGGGGCCCCGCGATGAGCCAGAACTTCTTCTTCTTGTACCACGGCTTCTGCCTGCCCTCAAAATCCAGGGAATCCATGTCGTCGCCCTGCAACACGGCAGCCGTGGTGGCGGCAGATGCTGTGGCGGCGGTGGCGGGCCTGTCAACCGGTGTGGATCCTCACAGTCGGCCAGGCTGGGGAGGTGGTGGGCACTGTTGTGTGGCACAGCGCCAGAGCACGGAGACGCCCGCCTCGGCCGCCACGCCTGCTGCCGCCTTGCCTTGCCATCGTCCGAGTCGCTGTCGGCGGCCTTCTTGGCGGGGGAGGCGGCGGCGGGGCCTACATCGCCGGGCGGGGATGCGCCGGGGAGCGGGCCGCCTGGCACCGAGCCCGCGGATGCGCGCAGTATGGGGCGGCGCCGCAGCGGGTCATGGGCCGGCGACCGGCCGGCTGCCGCCCTGGCTGTGGCGGAGCTGATGATGAGGTCGCCCGCCACCCGGTGCTCCAGCACCACCTCGTTGCCCGCGCTGCCGGGGCTGTTGGAGGTTACCCACCCTGCATCGCAGCCCACGCGGCGCTGCGCTTGCGACTCGCTGCCAGTGGGCAGCGACGGGTGTGCAGCGGGCCCCCACCAGTCCACCCATCTGCATGCATGGCGATCCTGCAGTCCACCTGTTGCCGGGCCTGCCGGTGCGCACCTATAGAGGAGCGCAGCTTGGCGTAGGCGGGTGAGGAGGCGTCGCCGCCGGGGCACCCCGCCTCTGCCGGCGCGGTGCGTCGCCGCGGCGTGCTGATGGTGGGGCCCAGCTGGAAGTGCGTGGGCCGCTCCAGCGGGCCCTTGCCCACCAGCGACACGGGCGGCAGCTCGATGGCGCCGCCAGACGCGGGCGCGCCGCTGCCGCGCCAGGCCGCCGGGATTTCGCCGGCGGGCACCGCCTGCTGCTGTACCTCCTCGCCCTGGTGGGACAGCAGGTCCTGCGCGTAGGTGCGCATCATGGCCAGGGTGCTGGGCGGCTCGCTGACATACGAGCCCAGCGGGGTGGAGCTCAGGCGGCGCGGCGGGGCGCGTGGCGGCAGCAGCGGCGCCGCCACCGCGGGGGCGGCCGTGCTGCCGTCTCCGCCAGCTGCAACTGCACTGGGGTCGTGCCCTTCCATGGCTTCTGCAGTTCGATTCAATTCTCAAAGCCGCAAGAGTGAGTGGGCGAATTGCCCCAGCCCAAAGCGCGGTCCAGGGGGGCAGGAGCGCTGCTAGCGATCTGCTGTTAGCGCCCTTTTTGCATGCAAATGGTAGATGGCAATCAAAAGGCCGGGCAGCCCAGGATGGCCGGTGGCGACGCGGAAGCCGGCTGGCTTGCCGCGTTGCAAGACTGGGTTGCTCCAGCAGGATTTGCCACAGCCAAATTGAATTGAATTGGGGCGGTTGCACTACGCCAACTCTGCTCAACCACCTCGCCGACGACAGGTGGCACCCCCCCGCCGTTTGTCGCGCGTGCCCGCGTCAGACCAGCTACCCCACGCATGCCGCACTGCCCTTCCCCTCTTTCACCAGCATACTGGCCCCCCATCTGTTCCACTGGTGCGTTACAGGGTGGCTGCTGCGACATGGCACGGGGGTCCCGCTCCTTAAGCACGGATGCCGCTGCGAGCGCACGCGCGTCCTGCTGGGGCCGCCTTGCAGGCTCCCTGCCCGTCAAATCCTCCTACTCTTCGCCCTGAGGGATGGTACTTCTGGCGCTGAGGTAGATGCCGTCCAGGAACTTGCGGATGTCCTTCTTCTTCACCAGGCACTTCTGCGGCAGCCGGGCGGCAGGGGAGCGGTGAGGGGGCATGCACGGGCATCGGGGTCGGCAGCATCACCTTCGGCGCCCGCCAACCCAGCCCGCCCCGCGCAGCCCCGCCGCGCCGCCGCACCTGGTGGATGAGCGCGCTGCTGCGGGACACCAGCTCGATGTCGTTGCCGGTGAGGATCAGCTCGTCCTTGACGGCGGCGCTGCGCTCGCACGTCACGCCCGGCAGCATGTCCACCACCCGCACAATCTTCTCGCCCAGGAAGTTGCGGATCTCCACCTTGCCGCCCTTGTCTGCGGGGCGGGGCGGGGCAGGGAGGGGTGAGGGACAGCAGCAGCGGCAGCGGCAGCGCGAGGCGTGAGGCAGCGGCGAGGCGAGGCTGGCAGGCTGGCAGGCCACCGCCGCCGCCGCTGCTGCTGCACTCACTCTCGATGTTGATGTTGATGGGGAAGTGGGCGTACACGAGGCGCATCTTGTACTCAAAGCCCTTGGTCACGCCGGTGATCATGTTCTGCAAGAATGAGCAGCGGCAGGGCGGCGCGCAGGCCTGGCGTCGGCAGGCGAGGCGGGACGGGGCAGGCGCGGCCACGGCGGCGCGTGCAGCCGGCGGCGCAGTTGTGCAGCAGCAACATGGGGCAGGCTGCCGCACGACAAGCCGCCGCGCAGCTCCTGCAGCCGCCGCGCCGCGGGTGCGGTTCCTCCAGCCAGCCTGTGCACACGGGCCAGTCGGCTACGCGTGCTGCTGGCTGCCGCTGCCAGCGAGCGAGCGGCTGTCGATGCAGCAGCGGCTGCCTATGGCACAAGCGGGCTGCCCACGGCACACGCCGGGCCACCGGCGGGCGGCGGCAGGGCGGGTGCGCACCTGCACGTGCGAGGTGCAGGTGCGGATGGACGCCAGCGCCTTGCGCCGCCCAAAGTGGCAGTCCACCTTGAGCACCTTGCTGCCCTCCTCCTCAGTCAGGAACATGTCCACGGCAAGGTGCTTGAAGTCGCGCTGCAGGGTGCCTGCAGGCGGGCAGGCCGGCAGAAGCGCGGGCGGGGAGCGGCGGCAGCACGGCACGGCGTCAGCCAGTCCGCCGTGCATGCGCGCGAGGCGGCGCGCCGTGCCCAGCACATAGTGGATGGGTGGCCAGCAGCCCGTGCGTGCCAAAGGCTGCCTGACATCCCCATGCGCTGGGTGGCCGGCAAAATGCTGCGCGCCCGGCTTGGGTACATGGCAGGTGTGCTGCCTCAATGCGTGAGCCTGCCAGCCGCAACGTGCCGCGGTAGCCACCCCGCTGCGCGCCGCATCATGCCGTCATGTGCACCTGCGCCGGCTGCAGCCCCCGCCTGCTGCTGCTGCCTGCTGCTCTCAACGGCGGGCTGTTCCTCAGGTGCAAAGCTGCTGTAGGGAGCACAGACCGAGCCGCCGCTTGCCACTGCCACCGCTGCCACTGCTGCTGCCGCTGGGCTGCCTCGTGCGCCGGCTGTGCGTGCAGTGGTGCCCACAGTGCATGCACACAAGCTGCGCATGGTGCGGCAGCAGCGCAGGCGTGGCAGCACACTCACCGCGGGGGCCCTTCACGCGGACCTTGCGGGCCTTCACCTCGATGGACACATCATCGGGGATGGCGAGCGTCCTCGACGCGACCAGCTGCTTCATCTTGATCCAACCTGCAAGCACATGACGTGCAGCCCCTCCATGAGCCACCTACTAGCGAACAGAATGGGCAGGTGCGCTGGGGTGGAGCGGGCTGCCGCCGCCCGCTGCCGCGCCGCCCCCAGACGGTGTCCTGCATCCCGGTGCCGCGCATGCCCCCTCATCCGCATGAGGCGCATGATCCCCCAGGGCTGTCTGCACGTCTCCAGCCCCGCCGCAGCGTCCATGCTGGGTGATTGCTGCCCAGTGTGTGTGCGGCGCGCCCATCTTGGGCCGGGCAGGTTGCCACACGTCTCAGATGGATGCACGCGACCCTGCTGGCCGCTGCAATCTGCACGCCCCTCCCCCTGCCCATGCTGCTCCCATGCCTCCCAGCTGCATGCTGCGCAACAGCGGGCGGCGCAGCTGTTTACCTGCTAGAGCTGGCGCTCGGAAAGAGGACGAGCGGGGCGCGGGGGCCGCTCAAGGGCCGGCGCTTGAGCATGGGTTGTCCCTGGGGAGCTGCAAAAATGGGCGCCTTTGACGACAGACTGATGTGCTTGTGTGATTGCCGCCGGACTGGTTTTACGCAAACGAAGGATAGCAGCAGCCGAGCCGAGTGCGGGAGACACACGTTGGGCACCTTGGCACATGTGAACACTTGTGTGCTTGGCTTGGCAGCATAGGGCTTGCAGAGAGGAGCCACTGCAGCGCTTGTTGGGAATGCATGCCTGCAGGGCGGATCCGATCGCCCCTGCAGCCCATCACCAGGCTGCCGCCACCCGCCAGTGCAAACGCACCGCCGCCAAGTGGTGGGCTGCAGAGTGCCTGCTAGTTCTGCTGGCGGGAATAGCATTGCACTAGGGGAGAAATCAAGCACCATTGTGCAGCAGAGGATGCAGGGTACCTCTCTGGAGCGAAAAGAAGGGAGGAACGAGAAGGGAGAAGAATGCACATACATGCAAGGGAGTAGTCAGTGCTTGTAGCAAAGAGACTGTCTGTAGAAACTCCGAGGTGCCCCAGGCAGTGTCTATCGCGCTTGGGTGTGCAGAGGAGTGCAAAGAATAGCACGTGCAGCAGTGCTGGTCATTCCTCAGCCGCCGGGCTCTCCCAGCCTCCATGCATGCTGGAAGCCAAGGAATCGAGGCAGTGCAAGGGTGCGGGGTGCGCCAGTCGCGTCAGCATGGCTGAGGTGCCTTGCGGCAGGCCCCTCACAGCTCAAACTCGTGTGTGATGAGCACCGCCGCAGTCACGCCCTTCACGCCGCCCTTGCCGGCCTTGCCCCGCACAATCGTCTGCAGCGAGTGCGTCAGGGAATCCAGTGTTTCGTTACCATGTTGCACCGCACGCCGCGGTGCAACGCCGCAATGCCGCTGGGGTGCTGCCTTGCACCAGCAAGGTCTGGCCCCGCCCCACCTTGAACGGCTTGTGCTGCCAGCTCAGCGTGGTGGCCTCATCCTTGATGCCATACGCCGCCGAGAAGGTGTCCTTGCCCCGCTTCTTCTCAATGCTCACCACCGGCTTCTCTGTCTGCGCCAGGTCCGGGCGGGGCAGGACAGGGGCGGCCAGATAGGGCAGCAGGGACGTGCAGCGCAAGGTGTTGCTGCACAGCATGCTGGCATGGGGGGCTGCCCACCTTGAGGGAGTAGAGGGCGCCCAGCTTGAGGGAGCCGCGGGTGTGCTCAAGCGAAAACACCGCCTCCTCCTTGGCAAAGTTGTAGCTGTGGCAGCACACAGGCAACAGGTCAGGGTGAGGCCTGTGTCGCATGCATGCCTGGGCAGGTTCCAACCCCCCCGGCCGCTCCGGCTGCACAACACGCGCAACATTTGGGCTGCCAGCCAAACTCAAGACAAGACCCTCATCCAATCAGCACTCACGTTCCCACCAGCTTGTTCTGCTTGTTGAACTTCCATGTCTCCTGCAGCACGTTTGACGCACTCACACCACCTATGAGCAGCCCTAGCCGGCATGCGCCTGCTTTCTTGCACCTCCACGGACTCTGGAGAGCCGGCCCAGCCTGCTTCTACAGCTTGTTTCTGCAAGACAAACAACGCCTGCAACCGACCTGCAGGATGAACACATCGCCCGCAAACTGGTAGCTGCCCTTCAGGCTCAGGTCGTTGCCGTTGAGCTTCTTGTCGATCGTCACGGTGGCAATGGTGTCCTTGGCGCCCGCGTTGTAAGCAATGGTGCCCTTCACACCGGCTGCGGCGGCACAGGCAGGTGGGCTGGCCTGGTTAGTGCGCAGGCGCAAGGCTGGGGCAGGCGGGCATCCGAACGCCTGAGAAGCAGCAACGCACGGCTCTTTGCTGAATACTGGGCCGACAATTCATGCGCTGGCTGCCCTGGAGCATAGCTGCGGCCGGCCACCGCACTCCCGCAACGAAAACAGACCCCGCACATCCGAGCCCTGCGAGCCACCCACCTCCCAGGGGCTTCTCGGCAGCCAGCACCACGCCCTTGAGGCTCTTGGGGTCGCGCAGAGTGCTGTCATTGAGCTGCAGGCTCAGCGTGGCATCGCCCTGCCTCTTCTTCAGCACCGTGCTGATGCCGACCACGGGCGCCTCCGAGGGCAGCCCGTTGGAGCCAAAGCTCTTGAAGGTGAACAGGGCCTCGGCCTTGGAAGTCATGGTGCTGCACAGGAGCGGGGGGAGCGGCAGAGGAGGTGGCACATGGAGTGAGACGGGCAACGGCAGGCCCGCGGGCGCTCCCCAACCCCGGAACGGCGGCGCGGCACCACCACTGGCCGGCGGCGGTGCCTGCCCGGCGACAACCCAAAGCGCCGCGAGCTGCCCATGTGATCAAGAGCCAGAATGCGCCAGGGCGAGACTCAGCCCCGTTTGCCAGAACCACGCCTACAGGGTGGCGGTGATGTGGACCGCCAGCCCTCACCTGAGTAAGTCAAACTGGCGGCGATGGGTGGCAATGTGCGTGACAAAGATGTCAGGGGTGGGTGGCGGCGGAGTCGGAGCTGCTACGCGAGGCCACCCACTTGTGCAGTACATGTGCGGCGGTACAGTCACAATGCCATTCATTTTGGGCTGGGCAGAGCGCGTGCAGCGCTGCTAACGAAGCATTAGACATCAGGCACCCCCGCTGGAAACCCGGCTCTCTCCAGGCAGTGGCAGTTGCACGGGTTAGCTGGGCACCCTGGCGCGCGCCACTCCGGCTCTCCGACCTCTGCTGTCTATGCTCAAGAGCGTGCAATAGCCCTCCAGACTCTTGCGGAGGCAACCCCTGTGAGTTGTGAGCAAAGCGTGTCATTGAGTGCACTACTGCCAGCAGACCCTGAGGGAAGCTTAGCACTCCCATTTGGCCATCTGCACCCCATGTGATACGACAGAGACGCCAGGCACGCCCCCTGGCGAGACTGCTCCAGCCCTCCGCGGTGCCCCTCCACCGAGCCCCTGCAGCCCTCCTTAGCGCTCCAACACTGCCATCGCCGGTGCAGGACCCCGATGACGCGCAGCGCAGCGCGGACAGCGCCCTGGGTGGCGGCGCTCTTGGCGGCAGCGCTGGTAGCTGTCGCTGCAGCCTCCCAACCGGGACGAGCAGAGGAGGGTGTTGTGATGGGAATGGTGAGTGGCAGTACGGCCGCTGGGCGCATGGGCTGCGCACCGATGCCGGCTGGGGCCCCGCCCTTGCACGCCTCGGCAGCAGGCCTCGGGGCACCTACCTGGCAGCTGCTTGCTGCACATTTGCACCAAGATGCCTTGTTTGGTCTCTCGCATGCGACCGTCTGCATGTGCCTGTGTGTTGCAGGAAGAGCAGCACGTGGACGCGCATGCAGCAGCAGCCGTCAGCTTGGCCAGCCGCCACACCTTTAGGCGCTTGCCGCGCCAGGCGGATGGGAGCGACGTGGCGGTGGGCGATGTATCACAGGACCCGGCGCCAGAGGTCCTGGACGAGTCGTTCCAGCCAAACCCGACAGGCGACAGCACGGGCGCTGGCGGCGCCACTGGCAGCGTTGAAAACCCGCTGGCGCAGGCAACAGGTGACCGCACGGCGGCTGTGCCTGCCAGCCTGCTGGGATGATGTCTGCCTTGCTGCTAGCCCTGACCCTTGCCTGCCTCCTGCGCCTGCAGAGGAGGACGGCTTCGAAGTGCAGGAGAAGCCTGCCGGCGAGGTGCGCATCGCGTGTGTGTTTGGTGCCATGCACTGCAACCGTGCCTCAGTTGTACACACCGGATCACTTCTTGTGCGTGTGTTGTGCAGGGCGCCTCCCCCAAGCCCTCCCCCAAGCCGAACACTCCAAGTGAGCCTGTTGCAATGCAAGCTGTACATGCACAACGCTCAGTGTTCTGGCTGCCGCTCTCCTGCTCTCGACCTCTCCCGAACTGCTGACGTGCCTGTTGTTCTGCAGCCTGCCCCAACGGCGGCGTGTTCCCGCTGTGCAACAAAGCACCAACAACACAGGTTTGCTTGAGGCCATGTTATGATTATGCACACTGTTATGAACCCCTTATTTACCAGCCCAACCTTGCTGTCTTTCTGCATCTTACAGCTTGCATTTTCATTGTCTTTTTGCAGCCTAAACCCTCTCCCAAGCCCTCACCAAAGCCCTCACCAAAGCCCTCTCCCAAGCCCTCTCCCAAGCCATCTCCCAAGCCTTCGCCAAAGCCCTCGCCAAAGCCCTCGCCAAAGCCTGCTGAGGTTGAAAACCCGCTGGCACAAGCGCCAAAGGTATGCTGCGTCAAGCCCGAGCCCCATGCTGCGCAGCGCCGACACAGCCGCTCCCTACTTTGCCCGTGTCTTGGCTCACCTATGCTACTCTTCCCNGCAGCCCTCCCCCTCCCCATCCCCCTCCCCCGAGCCGGAGCCGGAGCCCTCACCTTCCCCTGAGCCCTCTCCCAGCCCTGAACCAGAGGAGAGCCCCCCGCCGCCACCCCCACCCCCTTCGCCACCGCCGCCCTCGCCGCCTCCCAGGTACGCGCCATAAGCCATGTTGCTCGTCAGCCAGCCATGTGGGGGGCTGCGCTCTGGGCCAGGCGCTGGTGACGGCCGTGACGGCAAACCCCCATCTCATCACACCCCGCTATGCCCTCTGCAGCTCGCCGCCGCCAAGCCCCTCTCCCCCAGCGCCGGTGGGTTTGTGGCCCTGCTGACGCTGCGATGCCTTGCCCCCATCCGCCTGCCTGCTCCACCTGCCCACCACCACCAAGCCAACACGCAAGCGCTCTTTCCCATCGCACACTGCGGGGTCATGTGCGGCGCAGCGATGCACCGCAATGCATGCGCCTATCGGCCCCTCGCCCTCGCCCTGCCCCCTGCAGGCGCCCCCCGTGGCGGCGCCCGCCGTCGTGGCCGCAGCTTACAGCAACTTCACTTACAAGGTGGGCGCATGCGCCTCTTTCCGCCCACACATGCCAGCCACTGCCAGGCCGGGACCTGCCACCCGGCCCGGCCTGGCCTGGCGGCCTGCCTTGCCTGCCTGCCTGCCTGCCTGCCTATGGACCTAGTAAGCCCATGCAAGCGCTGGTGTGGGTGGGTGCAGGTGATGGACAACCTGGGGAGCTACACGGGGGAGGTGCAGAGCCAGGTGGCGCAGCAGCTGGCGCAGCAGATTGGGGTGCAGCCGCAGCAGGTCGCCCTGACAACGCCCAACTTCCCAGTCTCCAGCCAGGTGGTGGTGGCAGGTGCGCGGGGGGGGGGGGGGGCC